TAATCAAATCTTAATTATATTTTAATAAAATCCTAATCAAATCTTAAGCCAATACTAATCAAATATTAAATCCTAAATCAAATCCTAAATAATTCATAAATAATCTAAAAAAATCCTAAATAAATCTTAACCACTTCTTAAAGTTTTTTTAAATTTCAATAAAATCATTGTCATGTGATAACATAACTATATGATGAAAAATTAAAAAAAATGGATGTTATTATAGAATACCCTAATAAAAATATGTAGTAACAAAATAATAATAAATCATAAAAAAATAATAAATTTTTTAATCTTAATATTGTTTTTTATAGAAGGAACTTCTATTTACTTTGTGGAAGCATAAATGAGCCAAATCAAAATAAATGAGATAAGAAATTAATATAATCATATTTAAAAAATAATTAGGAATAGATTAAAGCAAAATTGACATCAAATTATCAAAATTTAATACCCAAAGAAGACCAGTTGTCAACTTAAATCAAAATCAAACCCTAAGACACAAAACCATGTGCCTATGGTGATTCTAAGATTATATTGTAACTTAAAGAGTGGAATTTGACATTAGACTTAGGAAAAGATTTTGGACATTGGTTTTATGTCATTTGGATCAATATTAAAAGTTTGAAGGATTTTTAAAGTTAATAATGTTCTTAAAGGATTTAGAATTTGAGAAATAAAAATACATTTATAAACTTAAGAATTTCTTGAGTCTTGTGGTATATATATAAGTGAAATATAGATAATTTGTTGTTGTGCTTGTTATTAATGTGTGTAAAACATTTGAGGTTAATCAAGCAATTAGATTGAAGCATATGAGGATTTTTATGGATTATGATCTGCAAAATTTGAGATTTAAGGTTAGTGAGTAATATGAGATCTAGCAATATTTGCTAGTTGGATTAAAGCAAAATTTAGAGAGCTCACTTAAGACTTAAATATCTACACATATGCCAATTTTTTAAACAATTAAATGGATTAGTAAGGAAAAATTGATATTGAAATATCAACATTTGAGTTGAAAAAAGAGGGCAATCAATGACCGAGAGGTTTTGGGAGATTTTTTTATAATTAGTAAGTCTAATTCATCTCAAAATTTTTGTATTTATTAAATTCTTATTGATTGAAGTCTGAATAAAATTTTAGTTAATATCAATAGTTCATTTAATATTTATTGAGATTTCAAATAACTATAGTATTTGGAATTTTCTTAGAGTTGTTTAGGATTTTGGATTTCATTAGGGTTTGGTTTAGGATTATAATTTAGAATTTACTTAAGATTTATAATTTATCTAGAATTTAGGATTTTATTAAAAATTTATTAGGATTTAATTTAGAACTTAGTTAAAATTTATTAGGATTTGATTTAGAATTTAGTTAAAATTTATTAAGGTTTTAATTAGGATTTCAATTAAGAATTGACTTTAGATTTGGTTAAGATTCATTAAAATTTTTATTAAATTAAGATTGATTAAGATTTACTTAAGATTTATTAAAAGTATCTATTTTTAGTATTTAAAAAATATTATTGATTATTTCTTTATAAAATTTATATTTATAAAATTTCTCTAAGATTATTATTATTTCTTGAAGGTTTTCTTTTTATTATTTTTTAGGATTTTTTATGATATTTCTTTGAGGTTAAATTATAACTTCTTTGTGTGTCTTTTGAGATTTTTTTTAAATTTATTTTAATTGATTAAGATCTAATTGAGGTTATTAAGGATCATTTGAATTTTATTTAGGATTCAATTAGACTTGGTAGAATTATTATTGCATTTCTATTTATCTTCTAAGGCTAGGTGTCTGGTGTATTTTCAAGCAAAAATACATGTAATACAATACTATTGATTTTGACTAAAATTTTACTTACATTTTAATTTATAAACAATTAACAAGCATACAAAATTTGAAGAAAATCAAACTTTCTAATTGAAAGAAAAGCTTCCAAAACCTCTTCAATGTTGGCTACCTTCTTTCTCTAACTTGAATATTGATCTTCCAACAACAACTTCTTAAGGCTAAACTATGAAATTACTTCAAAAATTAGTTGGTATATAGATTTTTAAGTCTAAATTCCTCTCACCAATTTTTTCTTCAATTGAATTGATAGATGTTGAAAAATTGCAAAACTCTTACAGATCCTAAATTTCAAATATTTGAGACCATAATCCATAAAAACTCTCATAACTATCAATCTAATTATTTGATTAACATCAAATTTTCTAAAAATATTCAAGACAAATACATTTACAAAAAGAAAAAAAAATCACTTTTAGATATACTATAATATTCACAAATTCCTCAAATTTATGAATTTCTTTTTATTTTTCAAAATCCACCTCTACCAAATACATCTCTTACTCTAAAAAATACTCAAAACCTCAATATGTCTTCAAATCATATAAAATCAACTCTCAAAAATCCTTTCATAAGTTTTTTTCTCAAATCTCATTTTTCAACCAACCAAAAAACCTTAGAGTCATTGTAAATGTGTACTTTTGTACTTTAGAATTTGATTTTGCCCTTGGTCCACAATTGGTCTTCTTTAGATATCACTTCTTCATATTTTGAGGTAATTTTTATTAAAATCTATTCTTAATTTTCTTCTAAAAATACCTATATCAATTATTTATCTCATTCACTTTGATTTGATTCACTTATACCCTACAAAATAAGTAGAAGTTTCTTCTTCAAGAAGATAACATTAGCATTTATTAATTTTTACTACCTCCTTATCTATCATCTATATTTTAAAGATAATTTGCTAAATTATTTTTATTTAAGCTTTTCTATAATATAATCTTTTATTTATTTATTTTTAATAAGTGGATGGATTGCTTTCACTTGACTATGGATGCTCTACTACATATTTTGAGATAGATGCAAGATAATACTTAATACAAATGCTCACTTGCTTCTTACAAGTCTCATTTTCTTATTGCCACAATATAATATACAATCTTCGTTACATCTTACAATTTGCATAGGCGACCATTAAAGCAAGTTATATTGTGCATATTGGGGTGGTCCAAGTTTTATAGGGCCCAATAAAGAAATCCATATTATTATTCTACAAGAGAGTTGTAAGCGTTGAATAGGACTCTAATGGATTTTAGTAGCCAACTACAAAAGAACATGTGTTGTTTATGACTTATTCAATCAAAATTAGTAGAGAATTATTATGCATAAAGCATGTCATCTTTAATTTAATAATAAATAAATGGCTTGGCACCATTTCTAGCAATTAAAAACTTTGATGGAAGATTGTATGTATAAAAAAACATACTATCAAGGAATTTAGTTTGTTGTGACTCTTATGGCTTTGCATTCTTGTAGTCAATACATATAAGGGCTGTACTAATGCAACTATTTCTTTCAACTATCCATTTGTCCAAGATGGTCTAAAAAATTGGTATTGCATTACGTTTGGAAGTTTGTTCCTGCTCAACAAGCATGGCAATGAAGGATCTACATCCTAAATCTTCCAATATATAATGTAGGCACTTAAGGCCTATGGCAATTTCTTATTTGGCAACAAGGCTTCTTCTTAGGGAGAATCCATTGCAAATTTGATTCTTTTAGTGCACTTTGGATACAATTTTGAACAATGGTGATGTGATTGTTGTGATTGGAATAAAATGATGTTGTTTTTAACAATATTAAGTGGTACTCAAGTAAGCTTCTTTAATGCATATGGCTTGATATTCTTGACTACAAGAGAGTAGAATGGTCCATCATTTGGAAAAATAGGAAATTCTAAACTAGAGATTCTACCAAGCTTGTTGAGTGATTTATAAGTCATTGATACTGTCAAGATATATTTTTTTACAATAGTCAATAGAAATCTCCAATGGATGTTATTGAGTCCCATAGTAGGTTTTATGTTCCAACCACCATAGATGTAATCTAATTCCAATCTATTGGCCCATATAATATTGAGCATTGGAGATGGCTATCAACTGTTGTCATATAGGCAAGCATAGAATTACAATACTTATTAGGTGGTCTACTATTCTTATATATAGAATTTATTGTATCAATCCTTCTGCTTAGGCCGCATATAGCTGAGTTGGATATATTTTATGGTTATTCATGGCAATGAAGATCAGCTTTGTTTGTTTAAAAAAAAAAAAAAAAAAAAAAAAGTTAAATGAGGTGAAACCAACTAATTAGTTATAATTAGTTCCAAAAAAAGAGGATAAATCTTTTTTCTTTCTTTTAATTGGCTATTTTTATTTTTGATTAATTAAAGGTGAAGATTTAATTTTTAAAATGTGTTCTTTAATATTCCTAATTCATTTAAAATTATATACTTTATTCAAGATTTTTGAAATGATACAATTTTAAAAAATAAATGTTATACTAACCATTCCACACATGGTTGGATTAAACAGACAAATTCCCAAATAAATCCTCAACTTAGATTTATGATGAATATTGTCTAACAAATTTTTATTTGTAGTTGGTCTAGTTTAGATTAGAGATTTTATGCATGTTCACAATTGGGTATTGTATAACAAATTTTTATTAATTGTGGAACTTGTCTAGGTTTTCTGTGGGTCAAGTTGTGTACATGAATACAGATATTACATTGTAAAGTACTAAATCAGTCATAAATAAATATGAAATCAACACATGCACGTTTGTATGCCTTTGCAATGTTTTTCAAAAGCTATGGATTATATTTTCTAAATTTATCTTGATATTTTTAAAGTTGAATATGAGTTCAAAACAAAAAAATTAAACAACATTTTTTTTTTTTTTTTTTGTTTTTTGTGACTGAATAGACTTGGCTTCATCAAGAAAGCACAATTCAATTTTACATTATACCAATGCAGCCTCGACGTCGCCGGATCGAACCTCGCCGCCGGCATCGACGTTATTGCTGTGCCAAACGGTAGTCGTCCGATGGTCTTCAGAACGGCAATTGTAAGCCGTCCGATCCGCATCCACGTAGGGTATTTAGGCTTTTTGAAATGTTTTTTTCCCTCCTTCATCGTCGTCTTCAATTATCTACACATTGTGTGCCAACAATCCAGAGTCAGAATTGCTCGTTGATTCGAAGTTTGCACGGTTGCGCTCTTGGCATTGAAATTCAAGCAGAGAGGGTTGCGTAGGAATCATCCAGCCATGTGTTGGATTCTAGAGCCAATCTGTAAGACAGACTTTTTCTTTTTCTTTTTCTTTTTTATTTCTTTTTTTCTAACATTCTTGTGTAATTTTCCGTGCTCTGATTTATTTATTTTGGTCATTCGAGTCGTAGAGGACACACTCTGAAGCTTTGAATGCGGCTTGGTTAGGAGAGTAGCAACTGAGGCTAATGCTACGCTGTGGATGCTGGTTCTTCGCTTCGAGGTAGGCAGGTTGGTTGTTTGTGGTTCTAGATTTTTGTTGCATCTCATGTGCATGTTTGATCCTATCTCGAGATGTGTGCAGATGGATTTGGTTGCAGTAGAAACTTAACCCTACAGTCTTGGATTGCAATTTTGTTTGGGTATTCGTTATTTAGTACCATTTTGTGGAAGGATTTAGATTTTGGCAGCGAGACGGGAGGTGGGTTGGTTCTCGTAATTCTTATTGTTTCGTTTCGTGTTCCTCTGCTGCTTAGGATTTAGTGTATGTAGTAAGTACTCGAAGCGTATTGAAGTTTCGTTGTGTGTTCAAGTACAAGTTGATAGGTTGTTACAGGATTTGTAAATTGTTTGAGTTTGTTTGTTGTGTTTTAATAATTTCAGTGTTTTTTTTGCTTTATTGTCGACGAAGGATACTCTCATTATCACCACTTCCGCAGATGATTAGATTAGTCAGTGCGTCATAATGCTCAGTACATGGTGGTGGGGTTTCTTGTTTTATTCAGGATGTTTGCAGGAATTTTTGTTTTTCTGGTCTGAGGAAGTTTTGGCAACTGAAATGAGAATTTGAAGCTATAATCGCTTTGGAGACTTATCTTTCTAGTGATGCATCGAATGCTTTTGGAGAAGTTATTCGTTTACAATACATGGCTGGATTCCTGCGGCGATATGTTACTTCTTTACAGGTGAAGCCATTACATTGACGTGCATAGACTCGATGGCTGATTCGCTAGAAAAAAGTGGTGTGGAGATCGAGCATGAAGCAAGGCTTTTTGACAAAGTTACAAGCGAGAAAATCCCCAATAGACGACCTGAGGGTGGCTGTGAGGATGTGACTTGCACGAATCTCTACAAAGGACCTCATGTTGACAGTTCGGAGGAAGGAAATTGTTTTGTTGGAGTGGAGACCGGAAAGTGTATTTCAGAAGCGCAACTGGTTAAGACCGACACAGATCAATTTTCATGTTCTATTGCAGAGTTGGATATTCCCAATCATGGGGGAAATGCTGCGACGCGATTGGAGGGAATAGTTGCACGGGTAGAGGGAATTGACAGTCAGGGTGTCTCTGTAGTGGCGGGTCCTATTGGGGACCTTGACTTAGAAGATGTGTCGTCTGAGTGTTCCCTTCTTCCTGGTATCAGCTCTCACTGCTTTGGGAACGATGAAGAACCACGTCGAAGGCATGAAGTTGAGCACACTGTTGAACAGCTCCACCCTGGTGCTAGGAGCACCATTTGCCATCAAAACATCTGCAAGACGCTCGAAGATTTCGTGCATTCCAGTTCGACTTTAGATACCCAATCTTGCCATCGAGGGGTTTCTCAGAATAGTGAATTTGGTATCGGAATTAGAGAGGGTGCTGTGACAGGGACTGTAACAAAGGAATTGCTCGACCAGGACTCCTGTGTGCCGCACCCACCAGTCTTCCAATCTCAACGTACCCTAGCCTCTGACGCTGCAAATATTCGTGCATGTGAGGGATTTTTGGTTACTGATGACGAGTCGTCGTTGACTTCCAATTACCCTCAATTGGTAGACGTTTTTGTGCGTGACAAAACAGACGCGAGGGTTGGAAATGAATTTGCCCTCGAATTAGGGTTGCAGGAAAGGGCGGACAATTTTGATGTGCACGGAGTGTTGGCGAACTACGAAAGCAGTCTCGGGGATTGTCAAATTCATATTTTGACAGAGCAACACACAGGACCAACCACATCTATGGACGAGGTAGTTCGCATCGATGAAAATCTCTCCAAAGAAGTTGAGACTGGGCAGACCGAAGAGAACCAAGCACAAGGAGAGCTCATAGAAGTCGACAACGACAGCTCAAGCGCTGCTGACATTGATGAAATTGGTATGCGGCTCTTAAAACTTGATTTGGCAAAGGACGAGTCGACGTCGTACCGAGTTGATCAACAAAAACATCATTTTGGAAAGGGAACTGGTGGGAACCTTGTATGTACCCTAACGACATTCATCAATTTCTGCTGGTATTTATGTCTAGCAAGTTATGCGAGACATTTTTATCGGTGCCATTTCTTGCTGTAAGATGGAGCACGTTCTTCAAAAGATAATCTTTGTTGTTAGTTTTTGTCCTTCTGTATGATTTTCCTTGTGGTATATCCACGAGCGTAACCTGGTGTTGGCTACCATTCAATTAGATGTTGATGTCCATAGAATTCTTAAAAGGCATGTATAATAGGTGCTCCATTGTTGCGGGTTATGTCAGTTGCTGCCTTCTGGGTTTGCATGGGACTTCCGTAATCAGTTTACTCTGCTGTAAATCGTAAGCAGTTGATATATGCAACATCAGTCGATGCTGTTAATGCATGCTAGTGATCAGTGCAGGGTAAGGAGGAGTCTTACAGTGAAATTATGATTATGGTTATGCCAAACAGGCTGGAGTTTTTACACCTTTGCCGCCGAAAGCAGAGACACAAGTAAAGAATGCTATGATGCGTCCTAAATGGTGAATTGAACGCTTCCTGTCGAACTGATATAGGCCCTGTTCTTTATGAACAAAAATTGTGAGCTTGTTTGGAAATGATCTTGATATCAGCCGATTTCAGGGTTCTGCTTTGTTTAAATATTGCCATCTGTTTAGCGTGGTTTTGCATCTTGTTGCTTCTTATGCCACAACTATAGGTAAGTTTTTTGTACGTTGACTCCTTAAGCCATGCTAATTTTCAAGGGATAGCTAGGGTTCATTCTCCCAATCTTTGACGACATCACTTCCTTTCAGGAGTACGGTTCTTGTGTTTCACAAGGGCTCCAACATAGAAGTGACAGGAGAGATCCTCCAATGCTTATTGCCAGGTTCCTGGCTTAATGACGAAGTAAGCAAATGCTCTTTCCTGAAAACCACTTAAAGTTCATATTTTTACAGCTTGGTTGTTCCGAAAAGACACGAAGTTGCTCATCTTGAGTTGTCTCATCATGCACAAAAGTGTTTCTTTGACAAGTACTTGTTTGATTGATTATTCTTTCTTGGTCTTGAGAGCTGTAGAAGGGTTTGGTTTTGCATTTTTTTTTGTCTTCATCCCAAATCTCGTGTCTTGCAAATTATTTAGTATCCTTACCTAATATCCTTATCACTATGTAGGAACATCTGATGATTGATATTGCCTGTGCAGGTTATTAATGTGTATATGGAGTTGCTGAAAGAACGTGAGTCGAGGGAGCCAGAGAAGTTCTTAAAATGTCATTTTTTCAATTCGTTTTTCTATAATAAGGTACAGGTCCATACTCAGCCTTTTCAGAGATCTCTACTTTGAGGTGACTGTAAAATGAAATAGTAAAAAATGATTCTTCTAACGAACATCAACTAGATTGTGAATGCAAATAGTTCAATCGGCAGTGCTCAATTATGATTTTCTGTTGGTCAACAGTTGTAAGGTCAATCACTTAAATGGTACTGTTTGTATAATAAATTTTTAAACAGGACTGGACATCTAATTTAGACTTAATGGCAGCTTTTCAAGGATGCTCAGAGTTATGACTACCAAGCCGTTCGGAGGTGGACTACGCAGAAAAAGCTCGGTTACAACCTTCTGGAATGTGACAAGGTTATTGTCACACTGAAGGCTCATGTAGCTGTTCTCTTTTGTTGAAATTCATTTCTACTGGCTTTTTTACATCAGCCGAAATATTCTGTGGAGGTTTAGATTTGCAGTTGTCCTGGATGATGAAGATGACTTTGTTGAATTTACTGATCGTCTGCCTAAATGTGATCTTCGTTTGTGATAAAAGAAATTTTGGTTTGCCAGATCTTGGTACCTGTCCATCAGAGCGTGCACTGGTGTTTAGGGGTAATTGATTTGCGAAGGCAAAAACTGCTGTACTTAGATTCCCTTCAAGGGAGAGATCCGAATGTTCTAAATTCACTTGTAAGTTCACTACATCCTCTTTGATCCTACAGCTAGTTCAGGTTCATTGCAAGTCAGTAATCATGAGATGATTTTGCCAAAGTTACAATGCATCAGTGTAAGGATAATACTTGTTTTCCTTTTGGAACTTTATTGCCTTCCAACTCTGCTACTTGCTAACTTGGATTTGTAGTGTTCGATGTTCGAGCGTGTTGGCATGGAACCTTTGGAATGAAAACTTGTACTGTGCACAAGCTGACTTGATGACAATTGCATTGGTCTTAGGCTCGATACATTGTGGATGAGGCACGAGAAAGGGGAGGTCAGGACTTGGATGTCAGCAAGTGGGAGCATGTCTATGTTGATGATATTCCCAGACAACTCAATGGGTACATGTGTATTTCCCCATATTAAGAGTAGCAAGTTTTTATTTAGACCAAAAACCTTATCATTGAATAGTGTTTCGTACATCGTCTTTATATGTCCTCTTTGTCATTAAGGTTGTTGCGGCTGGGTTTGTTTGTTGTCTTGCAGGTGCGACTGTGGCATGTTCATGTTGAAATATGCTGATTTTCACAGCCGTGGGGCCTCGTTAAGCTTCACTCAAGTGAGATTCTGTCTGCTTTTTTCCATCTTCATTTGAAACTTAGAATCGCATATAATAAGTCGGCCCAGTTTGTGAATTCGCGAAGTGGGATGCAGCTCATGATCTGACTCGGGGTTATTTCAGAACTGAAAAAGCCAATGCCGAAGTGTCATATTATCATATTCACCAGCTATTAGTAGAATATTCTGACGGGTCATTCATTTCATGTTCCCAGTCCAGTATGAATTACTTTCGGAGGAGGACGGCCTGGGAGATTCTTCAATTGAAAGCGACGTAGTCATCCAAACGTCAATCTAGTGTACATGTCAATTAAAATTAACAATAACGTTGGTCGTCTTCTTTGGAACTGAAAAGGTGAGCAATATGGTTGGCTTCATGTAGTTCGGAGCAGTGGCTACTACTGCATTAGATTATGCAATGCTTGTGGTTTCACATTTTGCATTTGGTTCCTTAAGTACAAAACAATTATTTTCCATTGGCATATAGGTGCTATCTCATTGTGTTTATTTGTACTGCAGAGCTCCGTGCGTTCAGATTGAGAGTGGTTTGTATTTCTGTAATCAATTATTTGAGCCAACTCTTTCGTGAGGCGCCTTTAGTGACATAAGGCACTGTTTCCAGAAACTTGAAAAACAAACATCTTCAGAGGCGTTTTATTCAGTAATCGTCCACTTTGACTAAATTACATTCCGTTTTATTTTTCTGCTTTCCGATTGCCTCATGATTCGGCCAATGCAACTACCTACAGACTTTTGACGATGTTATTCCAGGTCTCCGATGTTTCAGAGCATCGACATACACCAATTCGGCATATTCTAGGCCTGCAATTCTCTGCTAGTAAATATCTGTTGGGATTTTGAATTTTTGATGGTAGGGATGGCTCTGAAGGTACGATTTCTGCAACCCTCTGGAACATGCACCGGACATCTTTCTCCTGAGCAGAACGTGTTGTATGCCGCTTCACCTTTACACTCTGATAGTATTCCTTTGATGTGCTCTTCTAGAATCGAAAACATGTTGACAGGGTGAAGCTATAATTTTAGTTAAATCTCCTTGTTTCGCCTAACTAGCTGGTGTTAATGACCATTCCGGTAAACAATACCACCAGAAAAGGAGTGTTCGTGTTACGATACACAGCTGTCCTTTCATGCATTGTAGCGAATCGATTGATTGTTACCTTTGTTGTTCAATGAACGTCAGGAATAGGAGATGTTATAGCCGGCATATGTGCCGGTGTTGTTCAACTTTTTTAGAGCTTAATTTCAAGTAGAATATACTTAGTGTGCCATTTTGTTGATTTCCAAGAATAAACCCATTTCCAAGGCATTCTGTCACAAACACCATCCCATCTAGATGTGTTCTTGACTTGTGCACAGTAGGAGCTAACTTTCAACCACACTCGTCACTGCTTAGACTGGCATCCCATGAGTAACTAAATTTCAATTTGAAGGGCAAAGTATACTTGGACATTGGATAGATGCATGAACTCTGCTCTTTTTCTCGACTACAATCACAGTCCGCAATAGAAGTTGGCGTGATAAAAGATATCTGCTTCGACAATTTGCATATCCAATGTCAAAATGAGAACCCTTTTGCTTAACTAAGCATCTCATGGAATGATGGACCTAGCTGGCAGTTGTTTTCTATGACCGATCTAACCCAACTCACTGTGCTTCACGAACTATATGTTTCCAAAAATGTACAAGTTTGACGTCCAGGGGATCCTTCAATCTCCAGCAAACGCCAGCCCTATTCCTTGCCTTGGAACATGCGTGGAGAACTTCAGTATTGCTGCGGGACTCACGATAGATCAGAGAGCAACCTCATGAGGCTGCAAACTCTTCGATTGCATGACTACCTGCAGGTGGATACGATTCCAATCGTTCCAATCACACTTGTTGGAATGTTGTACTCACCCAGAGCAGTAGTCGTCGGAGGTGGGATTTGCGTTATTAGCCTGTACGCAGGGAGTGTCCAGGTTCCTCCATTATGGGCTACGGCGACTGGATTCAGCGGCCTGATGATTTGTAGAGGTGGACGGCCCCGAGACTTCGCCAGACTCTACCGTGGTGATAGTTATTGACTCGCTTTCACTCCCTTCAATCGCGTCATCAATCACCGTCGCTTTTGGTGGCACTGTCGCGCTTTGCATGCCGGTGCCTTTTGAACTCTGTGTAGCTCCCACGTCTTGGTTCATTGGGAGCTGGTTGGAGGCGTCATCAGATTGAACGTTCAAGTGATACACGACCTGGTTGCCCGCACGCACGCTCTCGCTAGCGCTGGCGGAGGAACCCAAGCTCCTCTGGGTCATGGGGGCTTTGCCTAACCGGTGTTGCCTCACATCCGCAGGATCATCCTCATGACTAGGGGGCAGGGAGCTAGAGCTTGGACCGCTAGGGTCATGGAACGAGTGGCTGGGTAACGAGCTGGGCTGACCCATGTCACGGGGCTGGCTCGTAGAAGCACCGCCAATTTCCATCGGGTGTGCTCCAGCCGATTGGGATGGCTGAAACGAACCCTCAGAAGATCGACCTACAGATTGTGGATCGATAACGAGAGCGTCGCTACGCGTCCTGACCAGTCGAGCGCGCCTTCTAATGGAGGAAACAGATGGTGGGATCAAATTGAGGGTGGCTCTGCTTTGCATGTGAGTGGAATCGTCCCGGGAGGTTGGAGACGCTGCTGGTCGCTGCACAACATACCGAATCTGCTGTAGCACTTCATTCGAATGAGTGAGACGGAATACTAACTCTGCACACCAGATCGCGGAGGACGATAAGTAAAGGGCATTGGTCAAGTTTACGCAAGATCTTCATGACAGGACGCGAAGGGAGACCATGAAGTTATATTTTTGATGGTCATCTCGTTGAATCGATTCTTGGCCCACACCATGGAACGAGATCGGCCCAGGGATCTCTGACCTACCTGAGAGCATTGGATTTGGAGCGGTAAACTGGGGCCAGCCGAAGACCCACCGCATTGTCCCGGCTGAAGCACACCCTGTCGAAATTCAGGTTGCATGCCACCCCGTTGTAACGAGGGATCCAGTGGGACGAACCCAGGCACGTTGGCGTTGGGATTATATCCAGGGGCTCGCCACCTGAGGTGATGGAGGTTGCTACGGGAGGTGGTGGAAGCGAGGTGGTAATGGGGAGGCGAAGGCTGCGGGATCATGGGTCGCATGGTCGGGCTGATTGGTTGCCACGCCTCGTTGTAAGAGAATTGTGGTGGGATCAGGGGTCGTGGTGCGTCTAGCCGAGGAAGTGTCATCAATACAGTGTTAGAACTTCTCACCGCTGTTGTTGGGTCTACAATTTGCCACCCCGCTGACCTCCTGCGAGAGAAGGAACCCCGACGAAGGAAAATCAGTTCCAACATGCATACTGAGATTCTGTGAGTGTTCCAAGTTATTCATGGAAAGAGACGACAGCGAATCTCACAAGCAAAGAACCTGTCGATGTTCTTACAGTCTCATCTCATGCCTATGCGCATGTGCGTTCAATAGTAGTTGTGCTTGCTCATATTCATCCTCTTTCCTCTCTGATGACGGCAAATCGTGGGACAACAAAATTAATGAGAAGTCTTACGGGAGATGGATTTCCGAAACGCTGAGGAATTGAAGGCAGTATCCAAGCAAAATCAGAAAATTGGGGGTCCCTTAAACCTCTCCAATTCCTTATTTTTGGACGATCTACTATGATTCTGTAATTTATTTTAAAGCTCTTTTCTCGTTGCTTAAATCCAAATACTCATGAACTCTGCAATGTGAACGAATCAGGAAAATTCTTGGTAGAACTTGGACCATGAAAATTAATCCAAATAAAGTTGCGAAGCAATTTATAAAGAGTGTCACAAAAATCTTCACCTAGACGGTGCGTATTCATGTGACCACCAAGCGCTTGAGGCACTGAGAACTGCTTGTGACAGTACTTGCACTCAAATTGTGGCTTCGACGTAACGCCATCCTCGTCCGACACGTAGCCATAATCTGGGGGCCCTCGTTTCCTCGTCGAGGCTGTGTCATCTGCTTGAGAACCAAACAACCCCTCGAAAATCAGCAATGTATTCGACACGAACCACCATTGAATCACTGACCACAGAATTCCGCAACATGCGGAGCGTCACATTCTGTACCCAAGCACACTCTGGAGCCGCTCATTCATTCTCATTCACTCAGGATACGGGAAAAGGGTCGAAGGGAGCCCCGACCGAGGAAGGCGAGCCCGGACTCCTACTGAGTGATCACCCTCGCAAACAGTAGCAGGTAGAAGAAATGAGAGAGATAGGCACAGCCGATGATTCAGCTGGGACAGCAAGGCAACCACGACAGAAGAAACCCCGCGACTCCACTCATCCTCATTCGAAAGTCACGACACAACGCGACGATCTCGCAGAAGAGGCTGCTTGCTGCTAGTCCGAGGGAGGATCGAAGAAGTCATGTGTGGGCAAGGACCAGGTGAAGGCACGACAAAATGCAGGGAAAGGGTCCCAGAGAGTACGCACCTTCTGGGGCTTCTTCCATGTGCGAAAGCGGACAAAGTGCAGGGAGATGGTGGCGCACTTGGATGGAGAGAGAGAAAGAGAGTTGTGCGATGCGATGCGATGCAATGCGAGGTTCGGTGCTACAACTACACTACATCACTCTCGCATTGCAACAGCGATGGTCGGAGCAAAATAATAGTGTGAGTGTGTGTGTCTGGGAAAGGGGGACGCCCCTCCTCGCACTCGTGGTGTCCTTCGGAGAGGTTCCTCCTCCAATTCCTCTTTCCTTTTCCTTTTTCTTGTTCTGCTTTTACTTTTCCTCATGAAAGCATACTGTTCCCTCATGTTGCACTTTTGTGTGTGCCTAATATATTATACTACAATGCAAAGGATGTTTCTTATGCTCTTTAAAAACCATTAGTTCATGTAATAGTGTGTGTAAGTTCACTGATTCATTTTATTTGTTTAAATTTGTATATGCAAAAAGTTTAGCATTAGTGGTGATACTGTAATATTTTTCTGAAAGTTTCATCCACTGTAGGAATTCTTTCAGGTGAAAGACCTAGTCATCTAATAGTTGAATAGCTGAGGTCGTGAGATGGAATTTTTTAAAAACATTATTAATTATTAATTATTTTGTAAAATGATTATATACTATAATAATCTATAAATATCTGATATGTAAAATTTAAATTATCTTGTTATTAAGACCAAATCAAATATTAATGATTTTCAACTATTGTAGTTCTATTTTAATGGGTCAAATATAATTCGATTAATGAGAATGGAAATTCAATTTTTATGCATAATATATGAAGAAATATTATATACTATAACTAAACGTATTTGTTATTCTTTTAACAAAATAGTTTTATTGCTTGTTTGATTTAAGTTTCTACTAATACCAACATTTTTTTCTTTTATTTTTAATATTATTATAGATAATATAAAATATATTAAACATTTAGAATTCTATTAAATATGTAAAATGGTTAATTTTAAATTGTATTAAAAATATATACATAATAGTATTTTGAAAAATAATACTTTTGTTATTTGGAATAAAGTAATAATGTAACAATGTTGTTGTTTAGACTTTTTTAATAATACACTTCAAGATATACAAATATACACATAAATAAGAATATTTTTATTTTAGTAGAATTACTACTACTTGTTATAGATATTTTTAATATATACTTTCTATGATTATTAGAAGACAATGAGCACATTTAATTTTTGTTATTTTATATTCAAAATTTAAAAATAAATATAATTATATCTATTTATTTTAAATTAAAGAAGTTATTAAAGCCACATTCCCATTTTATTGAAGCCTCACCTCCCTTGTCATCTCATAATTGATTTGGTCTATCTCTAATATCCAACCTTCTTCTATCCTTGTTCACTATTTCCAATCTTCAATTCCTAGCCCATATTCCCCCTTCCTTGTTTCTTGTCCTTTGTCCCTTGTTCCCAATCTCATATTCTATGTCCCCCCCCCCCCTCCCACCTTCTTTCTTATCCTCCTTCTTAATGCATGTCCCCTATTCCTATTATATTGAAAATGATATACAAAATTTAAAGCAATTCATATCTCTTACTTAGAAAACCAATCCTAAAGTCCAAAGCCTTCAACTATAGATTTTACACACAATGTCTATTTCAAAAGACTTGTACATTTTAAATTTTAGCTGGAAAATTTTAGATACTACAAGTACATACAATACAATCAAATAATCCAATAATGTTTAAATTAAAACAAGATGTATTATCTTTTGATTGCAATTAGAAGATTATAATGTAAGATCAATAATTTTAGTTATATATATTTATATTTAAAGACCAATTTTGTTCAAGATTATTTTTGCCATTCACAATGATAAGGAATGTAGGCAAGAGCAAAAGACTAGAAATAGATGGTGGAGGCTAGGAATGGGAGATAGGGAAGGGGGACAAGGCTAGGGAACTATGATAGAAAAAGGGGACAAGAGATAGGGGGTGGAAACAAGAGATTAGTGACATGAAATGGGCATGGGAGGTTGGATTAAAGATAGAGAATAAAGGATAGATTGAATTAATCATGAAATGACAAGGACAATGTTGTATTAATAATTCCCTAAATAAATCGTATATATGTTCAAATATATAGAATTTATCAATTTGCAACAAATTTCTCAAAGGTAAATTAAATAAAGAAATTTAATGAAAATTAGATATTTAAAATTTCTAAAATTATTTTTTAATTTTATTTTTATAATTAAAATTTAGAGATATTTTGTGCATAATTGATCCATTAGAAGAATATTTTTATTTATTTATTTATCTAATTTTACCAAGTAGTGGAAATGTGGATTCCACTTTCAAGGCTATGATCAAAACATTATATCTATTTTTAGAATAGAAATTCTTCATATATTTCTCAGAGACTTGCCTATTTATTTGAGTGCAATAATAACTATACAAAATAACAATGATAATAGTAAAATTTCTCAATATGCTAAAGTCCAATGAATATTTCTCAAAATTGGAATTCAAAGTTAATACACTATCTCATCACTAAAATAAATAAACACACACTGTTCTATGTCAAGATTGCTATATGCCAATGTTGCTCTTTGCAGTAGTTCTTGTTTGGTGGTTACAAGACACAAATCATTTATTACCAAAACAAATCCATCAACATGAAATCTTAAACAACAATCAAAATTTCTTTAAACAAGACTATCATCTCCATCTACAGCCATAATAAGTCCTTTAAATCCCAACAACCATCCATAAATCTCAAGTCCTTGAAATTGCGAAACACAAAAATATACGTGATACCAATCAAACTTGGAGAGAGATTGCTGAGAATCCAATGCACCCCACCCCACTGCCAGAGAAGGGAAACTCCCACCCCCCCCCCCCCCCCCCCCGTCGCCGCATTGACATTCATTCGACTTCCCTCCTCCTCCTTTTTTGTACAGTTGAGCATCCTTTTTGGCGAGATATGTCCTTTTTGGGGAGGCGTGCAGGGGACGACGATGATTTGGGTGGCGATGGTGGCGGTGTTGCATTAGGAATCGGTAGTTCGGTTGGGGGATTGTGATTGTGGCCAGTGAGAGTGAGTGAGTGAGTGAGAGAGAGTGAGTGAGTGAGAGAGTGAGAGTTAGTGAGAGCGGGCGGGGAATCATCGCTAGCGGGGAAGGGAGCGAGGGAGAGAGAGAGAGCGAGCGAGGAAGGCAACATGGAGTTGTCGACCCTGCCCTCTCTGCATTTCTCCCGCAGTATTTGCACTGCTGAGGTGCGGCAGCCAGGTTGTTGTGGAATTGGCTCCGGTTTCGCAACGGCAGCGTCTCGGATTGAGCCCAGGCTGGGAGGTGGAGCTGCAGTATTGCGGCGAGCTAGCCATGGCTATGGCGTGGGATGTGAATTTTCTATACCACGCTTCGTGTTGGGGTCATTAGATCATAAGTTGGGTGAAAAGCTGTTGCGTAGGGCTGTGAGAAGCGGAGCGTCGGGTTTGAGGAATCGACGGGAATGGAGATGTATGAACGCGGAATTTGGAGCTGATGCCAGCAACGCGGGTTCGCCAGGATCTGTGCATTTTGTTGGTATTGGAGGAGCGGGGCTTTCAGCACTTGGTCTTCTTGCACTGCGACAGGTTCGTTGCTTGGTTTTAGGTACTCTTTGAAAGGGACAGTTGGAAAACCTCTAGCCCAGTGTAAAAAAATAATAACAAATCAGGAGGAAAATTCGAAGAGAATTGGAAATTTTTGTGTGTTTCTGGATTATCAAGACGGCAGGAAGATGAACACAGAGTTTTTGTTTTTGCTTTGTCCGTTGGTAGGTAATAGCATTTCTCTAGACGATTGAACGTCTCATTTCTAATCCATTCCATTCAAGTTTGAAGTTTGCTTGTGCTTTTGACCAGCAATTCGATTCTTTTATGTTCTTTTAATCAACGATTCGGCTCATGGGTGGGAGGTTGTGATTGTGGTGCGGATGTTGGGAATCTGCTCATGTAACTTTCATGGAAGAGTAGTTTGGCATTGTGTGCTGGCCTCTGTGGAATTGCGCTACATTAGACATGAGAATCGACTCCTGACAATTTTATTGTAGGGTTGGCAAGTAAGTGGGTCCGACTTGGTATGGAGCGAGGAAGTTATCCGGTTGAAAGAGGCTGGTGCCCGTGCATATGTTGGCCACAGTGTGGCTCAACTGGTGCCTCAAGGGTCGCAGCCGCCGGATGCTGTTGTTGTATCCAGTGCCGTGGGTCCAGGCAACGAGGAGGTTGAGGCTGCTCGTGCCCTAAATGTGCCCATGTGAGCCTTTGTCACTCCCCCCACGTATTCTTGCTTGGGCTCTCACACCCTTTCCAAGTTATTTTTGCTTTTAAACGGCTTGAAATTTTCAATCAGGATTATGCCGTCTTACTGGAAGAATTTTGGAACGGCCTCATGCAAATGATTCAGAAAGTGGTTGGCATTTTCCTTACGCTGGGCGTTCTTGCAGTTACAAGAGGGGTGATTGGCTAGGGAAGATTACAGAAGGCTACCAACTGATAGCCGTTGCTGGAACTCACGGTAATTGTACATCTTTCTTTTCTCTCCGCTGCCAGTGTAGTTTTTAAAATTTCCTCTTTCTTTCATTTTCCTACATTGCTGCCACCAACTGCGACTCTCAAGCAGTGGTGGTTGAGAAGGCAAACTGATACGGTATCTTCATTTTAGATGTTGATTCTGGTTGGTGCAGGTAAGACCACGACGACAGCAATGTTAAGTGTGGTCCTGCGCAACTTAGGGGAGGACATTACTGCTATTGTGGGTGCTCAAGTTCCACAGGTATTCAATTGAACCATTCTCAAGCATTGTTACAAATGTACTCATCTTTGTAAAAAGAATTAGTCCAAAAATGAACCCTGAAATTGTACTCTTACTTTTGGAAGATTCAAGTGGACGATAAGAGCATTATTGAAGATCTGCTCACCCATACTGGTTTCATAATGAGTCTAATGTCATTTAGAATTATAATCAACACAGCCTTTCGAATCACCTTCCTTCCCATTTCTACATCAGTGTTGTTCTGGTTCTTTTTACGCTTTTTATTGGTCTTAGAAGACCTACATCCTGCTCTGAAGAGCTTGAGCCTCACTTACGTCTGTTAGTTTGATGTGATTTTTTTGTCTAATGCTTCGATTCTATAGTAAAATTATTGGACAGTTGTCTTTAGCTCACATATCGCAAAACTTGGAGTTGTTAGAATTGTCTGAGTCGGTCCATATTGTGAAGATTTTTTTTCTTATTGTGTTGCTAAGGCAATAGGGGATGAAAGTTAATGATAAACACTGCACGTTTCCAGTGCGTCTGAGTTGGTTCGATTGAATGCAGTTTCCAGATGGAGGCAGTGCATTGTGTGGAACGACTCGCAAGTTTGTTTTAGAGGTGCGCTCGAATCATCTTTAAACTTACAGGCATTTTGTCTGCCTGCTCTCGCTGAATGTGAGACAAACTTTTTAGGAGATCTATGTTTACGATCATTTGTTTCGTTTTGTTACTATATGTCAATTCATTCGATATTGATTGTAGAAGCCAAGGATCTTGAATGGCATAAAGTTTCCGCATTCCCTCGATTCTATTTCATTGAAAATTGGGGTAGATGTGGTCGAACGTAGAGTCAAGTGAGGCCTGTGTTGTGGTTCCACAAGTTTTCAGAAGTAAGTACTGCCATTAGATTACACTTCTGTTTGAAGCTACGAAAGTCTGCACATGTTTTTCATGTTTTTCACCTAAATTGTTGTCACGACGCAGGCCGATGAGTATGATGGCTGCTTCCTAGGTGTTTCACCTCACCTCGCAGTATTGACGAATGTTGAATGGGAACACGTCGACATGTTTCCTGATGAGGTGGTCTTCGCCTCGTGAGTGTGATTTTTCCTATTGTGACAGACCGTTTTGAGAGCACCACTTCGTAATTTGTTAAGTATGAACAGAGAGGATGTCTTTTGAATGTGACGCCTAGTATAGATCTATTTGATCAGCCGCTTATCGTGTCTATGGAAAACATATTACAGGAAGCTGTCAAAAATATGTTCAAGAAGTTCGTCTTGCAAATCAAGCCAGGAGGTTGTCTTGTTGCTTGTGGCGACAGGTGAGGTTTGTTCATGCTCATGCTATTTTATCCAGTCAAACCTTAGTTATTTACAGCGTTTCCTGTGTTTTTTTTATGATAAGGTTATATAAATGCATCCCCTGTCCTCTCTTTTATATCTTGTTGCAAAACTGAGCATTACATCTTCGACATTGCAGTGCCGGTGCTAAATCCGTGTTAGGACTGATAGAAGAGGAGCAAGAGAAAGATTTAGGTTCTCCATTCCCCAGAGAGAGACGGGTTGTAACTTTTGGTTTAGGAGCGAGCGATTGGCGAGCGATAATGCTTGTCCCAAATCCACAGGGTGGAACTGATTATACGGTTGTGAGTATTTGTGTTCTTCAAATTAATACTGAGGATCCGAGTATTCAGGGGGTTGCAAATACATAAATCAATTTCTATTTCGGACTTCTCTTTTTAACACCCTGGTTCTAGTAGGTAAATGAATCTAGCAATACAAGATGACGCGGGATTAAACTTTTGAAAACACTTGCTGCCGTGGTGTTTGGTAACAGGTATACAAGAACAGGCCCATGACTCGAGTCAGTTTACGCTTGCCTGGCATGTACAATGTGCTCAATTCTCTCGCTGTAAGTACAGTACATTCATTACCTGCGCAGAAAACGCTGGTATAAGTTACCTCTGCAATGCTATCAAGAGTTCAGAAGTTGAAACTGCTGCTTTTTGAGAGTAAATTGAGTGATTGGTGGTGATCAAGATTGGCAGGTCATTGTGGTTATGTCGCTGCTGGCAGCAGAGAAGGAAAGCGACGTTGGGGCACAGGCAAAACTCATGAAGAGGACCGCCGAGGCCGCAGGAAGAGCTCTAGGAGCTTTTTCGGGAGTACGCAGACGCTTTGATTTTGTAGGATCTGTTCATGGATGTCATATAATCGACGACTATGCCCATCATCCAACTGAGGTTCGTGCTGTTCTACAAGCAGCTCGTCAACGATATGATCAGCAGCCCATCTGGGTGATATTTCAACCTCATACGGTTAGGTAGGTACTTAGTTCCTGAAACTTGAATGTTTTTCACTTTTTTGAAGACTCCGTTAATAACATCTTTTGTTGATTTTTGTTGTCACAGCCGGTTGGCTGCATTTCTACCAGACTTTGCTCCGGCTTTTAGTGCTGCAGATCGAGTTATTGTGACACAGGTAGGGTATCATACTTTCTTTTTCCTACCTTTGAAGTTTGGTGTCTTTGCAATTTATCCAATGTTCATTCTAAAATGGATTAAATTGCCGTTTCCTCATTCATTTGCCTTTCCCCTATATCACTACATTAAGATGGACCGACTATGAGTGATTATCCTGTTTTAATTTTTGTCTGAAATAGGGTGTAGAACTTCTAACTTCTCAAGGTACGATTCATCAGAAACTTTTGTATGACTGGGAATGGAGCTTCTTGGCGTTTACCCTTCCAACTGTGAACCAAAGAGCTAAACGTCGATGAAACTGCAGGTGTATGCTGCTCGCAACATTCCAACTGAGAAGGTTGTAACTGGGGAAGATTTAGCCAATGCCATTATTGGGCCTCCAGCCGTCTATATTCCAGACTTGGTAAAGTCTACTCTAGCCATTCTTTGCATGAAATGTATCGCTTTCAATTCGATTTATTCTCGATGCTCCATTCTATCCTGCTCCTTTCTTTCAATGTGATGCACAAGATGTTTGGTATTTTAAACCATCTTGAGAAAGTTCAAACTGGCTTTCTGCTCTACGACAGGATGTTGTAGTTGAGCGGCTATCGTGGGAACTGGCAGCCCTAGATAAGAATGAGATGAATGACCGCGGCAACATTGTGTTGCTTACTCTTGGTGCTGGTGCGTTTAATCAGTGTTGACGTGTCGTAAATTCTATGCTTATTTTACTCTATTTTACTCCAGTATGAATGGTTTGGGTTGCTGCATATAAATAGTTTCCTCATCAGTCAAGTTACTTTACCTACCGTATAATCAATGAATTATCGTTTGTCTACACTTGCAGGTGATATTACCGACGTGGGTCGACGACTCATGCAGGCATGTGAAGTCGCATCACGATAGAACTTTACTTCGAAAACCCAAATTTTACTCTGCATCGATTCCTGAGCGTAGGCAGCTTTATGTTGGTGGTATGAGTCTGTTGGTTTCTTCGCTGGCTCACACTCATCACATGATTTTATTTCTTATGTAATTTGTTCCTGTGGTTATAACTTAAAGATAGCCCTTGCAACAAAAGATGCTTTCACAGTGCCAGTGAGAATCATTTCTTTGTGGCATGGTTCAGTTATTGACTTGTTTCCATCTGTGCACTTTTGTTTGTTGGGATCTAAATTCCATATCAGAAGACTTATCCCCCTTCATTCTGCGTTGTTTTTAATTTTTCTGATTGGACCTCGGATCATCTCGATATAGACATGAGATTCCATTTTAAAATATATGAATTTAGATCCAAGGCACATCCCAAGCATGAGTTTTTGCTGTAGGTCAAAGAGATTTGTCACTTCGCCTTATGCATGATTTTCCAAACATACAAAATATTTGAACATGAATCTAAACTTCTGTTAGCAAGGATTGTCGTTGCCATCTTTGAGGTCATGCTTACTTTGAGCCTCGTCGTTAGACCTTCCAGGTGGTAGGATTAAAATGCGGGTGGTGTGGAACATTCAGATGACGTTGACGGTCATTTCCAATTGTCTTTTTAGTATCGAACCTAGCTTCAACTTTCCTTCAATTGGCGCAATCGTTCTTTTGTTTTCATGTTTATTTTAGAGGTTGTAGAAGGCTTGCTTTGAGTTTTTCTGCTAACGCTGTTTAAAAGAAAACTGTTCGACCTGGGAGGGTCCTCGCCACACCACGGCATCAATCAATCAACATTGGTACATGCAGTTTGAGATTCTCTTTGATGTACTATTAGGAGCTCCATCGGCATTTGTAGGTGTGGAAAATTCACTAAATTTAATTCGAAGTAAGCATTTGTACGCATCTGGTGTTGCCATTTCCGGGTTCTACGTTACGTTTTCAAATTTTGAGAAGCCGCTGTGACGCGGTGGTTGGAGAGAACTTTCTGCTTGGAAGGGTGCTGCATGATATTCCCAGTCTGGGGCTCCAGTATATGACTCGAACTAAATTTGAGGTTCTGCTGGATAGTCAATGTCCTTTCTTTCCTCCTTATTTTTCCGATCCAGTAATTCTAAGACACAATTCTTGGATGAAATCCAACAGGTTACATGTAAACTGAGTTTTGCTTCCGACAATCTTCGTGCAGTAGCTTAAGGACAGCAGTGGCTATCAACCATGGAAGCCGAGAATAAACCAGTCCTAGTGGACAAAACCACCAATGGCATTGCTATTATCACTCTCAACAGGCCGCATGCACTCAACGCCCTCACGCCTGATATGCTTGTAAAGCTGGCATTCACTTTCACTCGATTGGATGAAGACCCAACTGTCAAAGTGATCATTCTCACAGGCGCTGGGAGAGCTTTCTCTGCTGGAGTGGTAACCTTCTTGACCTCCTTCTCATTAAGTCCTCAAAATATAAATAAACAAATAAATAATTTCAGGGTTAGCAGAGGTACATTGCCGGCAGACTGGAGATCGGAGAGTGCACTTGATGCCAGAATCTTTGACCCCCTGCGGAATTTTACCACATGAATAATGAATGGTTAGTTGCTTAATATGGTTTATTCTATTAAGTTTCAGGTTTCTTTGGCAGGATTTAACAGCAGCTTCAGATGTTTTCAAGGGTGATTTCGAGATCGAGGCCACCGACACTTTGGTTCAAATGCAAAAGTGTCGGAAGCCCATAATTGGTGCCATAAACGGCTACTGCATTACAGCTGGCTTCGAAATTGCGCTTGCATGTGATGTTTTGGTTGCCAGTACTGCTACAAAATTCATCGACACTCATGCCAAGTAAGTACTCAACACACCCCAACAAGGGTTTTCTTGATGTACTTGTGCAACCCTTCAAGCATTTCGAATCCTGAGACTTCTTCTATACATTCCCAAAATTAAAAGATACATCGGATGCTTCATTCTCATACTTGACAGATCATGGTTCTTCTGAGCAGATTTGGAATATTTCCATCATGGGGGTTGTCACAGAGATTGCAACGCACAGTAGGTCCCTACCGAGCACGGGAAGTTTCGTTAACGGCCACGCCTGTAGAAGCACACACAGCGGAGAGATGGGGACTAGTGAACCGTGTGGTTGCTCCCTCGGAGCTCATGCGGACAGCGATAACTATTGCAGAAGCCATTCTCAAGAACAATGAAGGCCTTGTGGTGAAATATAAGACCGTCATCAATGACGGCTTCAAACTTCCTCTTGGAGAAGCACTGAAGCTCGAGCAGGTATCTTCACCACCACGTCTTGTAAAGGTTTGGAAGTATGAAATAAAACTTGTTGCAAAAAGTCAAAGTCACGTTTTCTTTTTGAAAACGTCAAGTCACGTTTGAACAAACAAACAATATTTGATGTCATGCAGAAACGGGGACATGAGTACTATGCCAACATGAAGCCGGAGGACTTTGCTGCAATGCAGGAATTCATTGCAGGACGATCTTCAAATCAATCGACGCCGAAATCCAAGCTCTAGTAGATCTGGAGTAGACGCTTGCAAAAAGTGAACATTGTCAAAGTCAGAGGTGATACGTAAGTCATGAATAGAAGGCCTCAACAAAACTGTAGATATATGCTTCAACTCAAGCGGCTGTGAAATAGATCACCAAGTTTCTGGTTATGCACACATAGAGAGCTTACTGTCAAACTGAAATTCTGCTTCCATGTGAGAAACTGAGAGGTGGTTGTTTGGATAATGGTTGACATCATCAGATGATGTTGAGAAGGAAAATCCTGCTACCAAGCACTGGGTTTTTATTACATTTGGTTCCCTTCTGTGATGGCTCCAGTCCACATTCGCAAATCAGAAAATCTAGATTGTTAACACTTAGCTTCCATCCTTAAATTCCATTCAAAAAAATGGACAGTCAAAAGAGAACCTACACCCATCAACTTAGAATACATATTATTTCACTGTTTCTTCTGCAAATACATCTAGCTGAAACTTCATCACCGTTTGACCGCCGTCACTACTTGAGATCGATATCTGAGGACTAGTTTGTCTCGTGAGTACTATACAATGTATTCACATGGACTACCACGGCAACGAGGAATTCATGTTTTGAGAAGTCAACACATCTCGTCAGGGACATCATAATTACTGGTTCAATGAATGAAAAAAAATCATATCTTTAACTTGATAAAGATCTCTCACTGCGACTTGGATTTTCTCATCTCCTCTACTTTTTTGAAAATGCTGCCATCAAACATATCACGGATTGACTCCTTGGATATTAGGCCATCTTTGTCCTTCAACAACCAGAAAGTCACGCTCCACTCACCTTTGGAAGCAATCCTGCACGTCAGAGTGAGGTCAATTACACACATTGCAAACAATACAGAATTTATAAAAGAAAAGAAAAAGAAAAGAAAACCATTCATTTAATGAAGATTGCTAGGTCATATCATACACGCATATCAATGTGAGCACAAGAAAAGCAGTAGCCGATCAAATAATATGGATGTGTTTTAGTCATTCGGTACTAACCAGCCAAAAGGATCAGCTACGTTTCGATTGGCAGCAGTCATTTCCATGAGTTCAGAAAATGTCAATCGATTCTTTTCGGTCTTAGCATATTTACTGAAGATCTCCTCGAATTTGTAAGGAACGAATCTGTACAAGCAGACAATTCTCGCTCAGAAAATGAAGCGCCTGCATCTAGAACTTGTTCCACTTCAAGGAACTGAAATGAAAGAAAGATTCGAATAGCTCCATGTTTTTGAAGGGGTGGAATAGCAATTTAGTACCTGCCCTCCGTATCGTATACTTCTGTGTCACTGCCATGCTTTGCTCTATGTATATTTTTGATGTAAACTGGGAACCATAATGAAGGAATCCAGGACTGCGCGTCTCTCACAAGAAGACAGACCCATTAGCAGCATTCTCCACCATTCCTTCAACTATGCAATGTGCAGACAGAACTCAGGCTCTGAAGAATTATTAAACGGGGAATAGAAGATTACTTACATCAAGAGTAGGGTAACTTTGGGCACTGTGTATGAATAACATGCCTATAAAAGATATTATGAAATTGAATCCAAGAGCATGGAATCCTGGGGAAGCGATCATTGAATCAAGAAAAAAAGTTAAGACCTGAATGAACGCTGCCGCCATCAGATCACATTTCACATTGTAGAAAAGAGAGTGCAACTAAGGAAATTGTCGTCTCAAGTGATGATTCAGGAATTAGGGTGAATAATGCATAAATTCATTCAACATAAAATAAATTAATAAATAAAATTAAAAATGAAGGCACTACCTTGGAAAGTCTCCCACGGATAGATAACGCCGTCGTTGTTCCGATCGAAAAAGGCTATGTGCTGCTGAAGCACTGAATAGCCATTGTGGTTGTAGTCAGGAGTGCCTTGGGGATAGTCGCCTCCTGTGGCCTCCATCGCTCGTGGTACATCTGCGGCAACAAAACTCCTCGTGATCGAGCATTAGGACACAGATAAGAGGCCCAGTGTTGCGAGAAATCGAGCACCTGAATTTCCAAGTTGTCAACAAGCTCTCAGAGGACTTGAAAGAAACAATCGTCTGCGTACTTTAGGAATGAACGACGAGCTCTAGTTCTCAGCGAAAGGTAGTAGAAATTAACGATCTCAAAATACACTGCAACATCCAAAATCATGACCTAAACTGATCTGTTTTCATGGACCGTGCCAACCATGGATGCTTAACCAAAATCTCAATAACTTCAAAACATGATAGTGGGGTTTATTACGAGGCTTCTCTACTCCAACATCACCGCTAATGGCAGTGCGACGATACATCACGGGCGCCATTGGCGCCACTGTCTCCACGTTAATTTCGTTCCCACTCTGCTCTTCAGCCATCACTATTTCGTCCACCTCACGGACTAATTTTTCACAGGCTTCAGAGTCTTTGTCAAGTCTCTACGAAAACACCCAGATGCACACAAACAGTAATCCCAACCTAAATCAGTGAAAAACTCAACAAATGAGCTCGTTGACACTAATCTCCGATGTGGAGAGAGGTAGGAGTAAGGATCACCAGCGGGGTCAAAGTACCACTTGACAACCTTTAAAGCACTCTAGTTTCTCAAGTTCCATAAAATAAAAACGCAGCAACAGAAACTCGAGGTTGAATCGATTGCATGCAATTCCGACTCAAAGCTTACCGAACTAAAGTCGTTTCAAACCCAATTCAATTTCGAGACGAATCTAAACAAATGATCCCCAAGTGCGAAGTTCGTGAAACAAAAGTTTGACTTGCGACTAGAACTTGCATACAAGGCAGCTGCTTCGTGAACACTTCCGCTGGAAGTTGGTAATTGTTTTCAAGGCCGGCCATGATCCGAAGAAGTGGGCCGGTAGTAGCCCAGCTATCACGCCGCGTCTGGAAATTACTGTTTGCGTTGGGGGCAAGGTGGTCTGATGCTGACAGTCGATGTGTTCGAAGGAGGGGTCGCCAATTGGCATGCATGCTTGTCAGCAAGGGCCCTCTGCAACGATTCCCTTATGGACGAATTGGAAATCCGAGTTTCCCAAATCGCGTAGATTGCTGTCAACCTTTCGGTGCCAACTCTTAAACGAACGAACTTAGTGACCAGGTTTCGCAAATTTCTTACCACAATCAGTCCATCCGTTTGAAGTATCGAACCGTTCTTGAGAAACTTGACTTGCTCATGAGAGTAACAAGTCATCAAATTCCACACGTTAGTGAGCGTCGAGGTTGGATAAGGAGAACGATCAAGAGAGAAATTGTAAGTGAAAACTGTATTGAGTGAGGTATTGAATGAAGAATCTCAAGCGAGGGTTTAGAGTGGAGGATGAAAGTTGCTCCGCGAGAAATAGAACGATGGTATTCTCACTACCACCACAGTTAGATCCTTGTTAGGGGGCCCCCTTGTCTTGGAACAAATATTTTAAAAAACAATTATAGCGGATGAGGGGAGAAACAACAATGTCGGAAATTGTGTTCCCAACCAACACAAAAGGACCGCATCACCTCATCTTTTAAGGCGAAATTGATAGATTTGTTTTGCTTCAAAGAGGAGCAGATTTTATCTTTTTGAGAGATTTCTGAAACTCATGTCACGGTCACAAAATTCATACAGACTACTGTGGGGACATGAAATGCAGATTTATGTCTAAATAGACGCGCTAATGTGGATGAGCTTCCAGTTCGATCATGCGAAATGTACGTGTTATCGATGCTTCACAGATTATACACAATTAGTTAACATGTTTCTATAAGTTAAATAAATAAAATAAATCCAATCTACACTTCGCTCAAAAATGTGGCAAGCGAACGTGCGACGTCGTCAGCATACTCCTCTTGAGGCAACAACGCTCCTTTCATCTTCTCGAACTTGGTGACACCCTTGGCTCCCTCTAAAGCCTCCATCTCAGCTCGTGATCGCTTAGGAGCTTTAAGGGTGGAGATGACGAGCACGGGAACCTTTCCTTCCAGTGCAGCAAACATGGCGAGAAACTCCTCTCGTGTCATGACTGGGTCTAGAAGACCAGTAAGGAAAGCTGCAGGTGCAAAACGAGCGCCATCCCGTTGCGTCAAGGCAGTTCGGCTCTCAATCATAGCCGGTGTCACGTTGTCAGCATCAGAATAAACGTGGATCAGATATTGCATGCGAATGTTCTTGGGACTGCTCACAAAGTACTTGTATATCGCCCAGCCAACGCCTGGGGATCTCAGAGTGCCGCGCACTAGACCGTACCTGACAAACAGACGCAAAACCCATCAGGATCTCGGCTTTTGAGCAATGCCCCACAGACAGTCACTCGTCCTCATGGTATTAAATAACTGGGTATTTCCGAGAAAGTATACAAAGTTGGTAAGATACAGACCTTGATTCCATGGTGTCACTGCGCCCAAACACAATTGGCAAAGGACCACTCCATGTAGGAGCAACAGCAGCCATAGCTTTGGCATTGATCAACCCTTTACTGACCGCACGAATAGAGATGCTTGCGGCGTGGCCTCCACCAATTACTACAAGTGACTCACCTGAGTAGAAAATCTTGTCTATGAGCACGATTCCAGCAAAACTCTCTATGGTGGGAATTGTTCACGAAAAAAATTCACGTTTCAAGTTTCCTCAGCTGAACTGACCTTGAACGCCAGCTAGAGGTCCATTGGCAGCAGTCACGAAGTCTACCAAAAACTTTTCATACATATCAACTGTGTATTCCAGTGCAGGCCTATCTGAAAGCCCCAAACCAGGCCAGTCCACAATTACAGCTCGTCTTTTGCAAGACCCTGCGTTCGTCACAAGCTCCTCTGCCACGTCGTACCACTCCTCGGTTGTGCTTACATCCGAGAGAGATGGCAGCAGCAGCAGCGTCTCTTGAGCGGCCCCTTCTCCTTCTGACCCCTGTTCCACGTAATTGATGTTCAAGGAGTTGCCCTCGTATGTCCAAGTCCATGTTCCCGTTTGGAGCTGTGAAATCCAGAGACAGATGATTGTTAGATAAAGACGTCCTCTCAGCCGACTATGTGCCCTGGCCAACTTTGCTTCAAAAGCAATTTTACGCGCGTACATTCCATTTAATCAGGTCTGAAACCATTCGAGATGGGTTGAGAGATGTCCAGGGCACGGTGGCTATCAGGATTCATCTTCATGATGAAGTTTGGTGTCTCGGCCGCGGTTTCAGACTCTGAATCTCAGTAAATTCCGACATGCCTTGCGCGAGTGCCCGCCATCGGACTACCCAGCATTTCGTTACTGTGAAAGCCACTTTTAATCCACCCTTTCCATTCTAAATGCCCCGCTAGATCTCTGCACTTGCAAAGAGTATGAAAAAGCTCTCTGTTGATATATTCAGCGAAGCTCAACGCAGCTGTACATAATAGGGGAACGCTCAATTACTGGCAATACAATGGGAGGTGGTGGAGAATAACCTTGGGGGATTCGGCAGTCTCCACGGCGGCAACTGACGCTTGCGCTTGCATTCCACGATTACTCATCCATACTCCACGTTGCTGCCCCACCTGAATACTCGAGCTCGTCTTCACAAATGAGAAATCCCCACCATATTGCGAGGTAAAACCCCTGGATGCAATCGCCACTTTCACTACATTTTTGGACCTCCGGCTACTGTTCCGTAACGCGCAAGCTATCGTCGGGGCACGCCTACCACATGACGCAGAGAGAGCGCGCAATGCCATATCGCACCACAGATCCAGTCCCCCTCTACAAACAACACCAACAGCCTTTCATAACCAAGAACCCACAATCCTCAGCCACACACCAACTCATCAAAACCGCCGTCATCAGCAGAGCAGATCATCCCAGTCTCCAAAAGCGAAATCTTCTGCCACTATAGCCTCAACCCACACCCTAAACAGACAACAAAAACTCCCATCCCCACAACAAGAGAAAACACCACACTCTAAATACACCCAGCTTCGTCAGGAAATCCCACTCATCTCAAGTATGTAATCCGCAATCAACTAATACCTCTTCCAGAGAAAATACACGCTCTAGACGAATGCCTACAGCAGCGCTCCAGGCGTCGAAAGCGAGCTAGAGAGAGAGCGAGAGAAACAGAGCGAGGTTCCCGCTGAATGTTGCAAGCAACGGGGTGCGGGGGAGTGAGTGCGGGAGGGAAGGAGGGTGGAATTGGGGCTGGGGCCGGAAGCACCACGGCGTTGCGTGACCACCGTGGCCATGGCCGTGAGAGCCACAGCGTGAGCCCCCCGCGATCCCCCGCGACCGAGCCACAGCCGCGAAGTGTGTGTGTGACGGCGGTGTGGCCACGGCCCCCCTCGTAGAATCGTGTCGCAGGAACCTCCTTATTCAATCGACTGACTCCGCTATCGTGGGCCGTCGGATTGCAGCTGCCTCGCAGATGCAATCTCAACCGCCGATCGGATACCTGGGAACGGAGGGAAGTAACGAAGGGGAACCAGTATTGGAGAGCCGGGCAGTATGGAGAGCGGTAGGTCGGGAACTCAGACCCCATTCTTCATTAGGCCCGCACTCATCCACATTGACATGGGTGCTGAATTTTGTATAGTATAAAAATATAAATTTTGTATAATATATTTTTGTAAATATTAAATATTAAAATATTAAAATATTATTTTTATTTTATTTTTCATTAAAAAGAATTTCACAAAATAAAATTTTGAGTTAGTAACTTTTGTACAGTATCTTAATGAACACAATATTTTTATAAATATGTAAAGGTTCTTCCAGCACTACTATAGTTCTAGAAATAGGGTTTTTTTTTTTTTTTTTTTTTTTTTACTTCAATAGTTAATTAATTGATTATTTGAAAAAATAAATGTTTTGAGCATTACTAAAGTTTCAAGACTATTATTTTTAAGTTGAACTATTTTGTTGTCATAAAAATAAAAAAATATATAATTAAAATTATCATCTTTATAGAAAATAACATACATTATATACATTTTAAAAGTATCTAAATAATTATGCTTAAAATTTTCAAATTTAGTTTTATGCAATATATATTTTAACCATCGTTCAGCACCAGGTATGTCAATGTGGGATCAGTGCGGCCACAATGAGGAATGGCTTCTGAGTTCCCAACCTGCCCGACCTCCAACCTGCCCGCCCCCGTGGTTCCTTCCGTTCCCAGAAATCCGATCAGCGGTTGAGATTTCATCTGAGCCGTTGCTGAAATCCGACGGCCCACAATGGCGGATCAAGCCGATTAAACAAGAAGGTTTCTGCGACACGTAGTGGCGAGGCACGGCCCCCTCGGGCCGCTTTTACTTTTTGGCTCCCATCTCATATACTTCCTCGTTCACTTCCTTGTTCCGTTCTTCCCTCCCTTCCTCGTTCACTTCCTTGTTCCGTTCTTCCCTCCCTTCCTCGTTCACTTCCTCGTTTCATTCTTCGTTCCCTTCCTCGTTTCGTTCTTCGTTCCCTTCCTCGTTCCGTTCTTCGTTCCGTTATTCGTTCTCTTCCTCGTTCCCCCCACTGGATATTGAGCACTGATTCTTGCAAACATGCACTTGTTAAAAAACGTTACGAGCACAGCATTTACATGTGTATTCGATTTTGTACAAAAAGAAAAGAAAAGAAAAATTATGGAACTGATGATACGTTGACACTTCTTGGTCAGAGATTTTTATTTATTTTTTATTTTTATTGAATTGAATTATTTGAATAATTAGTTTTATGGATGAAGAGAAAACACCACAAGATTTTTTTTTATCACAACTGTATCAGTTGTGATATATGTGTATTCAATTATCAAAATTAGTTAGTTGTCATTCTTTTAGGTTTTTTCAAAATAATAATCTTATTATGTTAACTGTATTTATTATTACTTTATTTTTTAAAGTAGAAATATACTGTTGATTTTGAACTCATAGAACATACGATGGTATTATATAGTCTAAAATCAAATACTTTTTTTCATTCAACATGTAAACCCCAGAACAGGAAAAAAAAAAAAAAAAAAAAAAAAAAAAAAGGAAAAAAAAGGGACAAAAATGGACAAATCAAGATAAGTATATATATTTTTACTTCAGAAAACGTAATGCCATATATTTTCATGTCTTCTCCTTGCTTTGTATCAACTCCTTAATAATTATAGGAATCTACTTGAAAACGCATTTTGAAATTTTGCTTCACAAATGATTTCTGTTTGGTCAAAATCTGTTTTGTATGTAGGTCAATGAAATAGCAAAGATTGTTGTTGTTGAATACAAATATAGTCATTTTTCAGTTGGTCTTTTATGAGAAGACATTTATTGCTTCTAAGATATATATATATATATATTTATACATATTGAATTCTACATGAACTGTAGTTAATATTCTTTCCCTTATAGACATTTATCATGAACTCAAATTAATTTTGGAAATATCTTTCATCAAAAAAGAATTAGCACTCTCACTGATAAAATAAAAGTGAATTGTAAACCATTGAGAGACTTTTATGTTCTTTTTTTAATCTAAGTCTCTACTTTCTATTTTGTTTCTAAAATGAAATCAAATTTTTTATGCAAAATAATATCTAACTAATATCCTACTTCTTTAATAAAAATAACTTAATCCATGAAAAATATTATAGAAAAATAATCTCTTTTGTATAAAATATACATGAAAGCTTTAAAGTGTTGTCATTTAAGTCAATATTAACTCTATCTAAAATTAGATTGAAATTAGTTTTACATATTCCTGTGTACAATTTATTATTCAACTAGTTAGAATTCCAATTTAATATTCCAAGTTAAAAGACCACCCAAAAAACATTAATATTGTGATATAAAATCATGGTTGCTTCACATCAAGTCGTTTTTATTTTTTTTCAGTAATGATTCATTAATGATAATAATTATCATTTTGTTATATTAATTGATGTAATTTGATGTTGGTCGATGTGTAAATGAAGATATCGATTTGTGTGCACTAAAAATACTTCAATATTTTAATATACCAATAAGAATAATTTGTTTAAAATCATTGTAGATATCATCATCTTTTCTATTATTTTCCTTCATGGCATTCATTGCAAGGGAGAATTGCCCAATATCAGCCACTTATAGGCCCAAAGACCCCAACCAGGCAAACAAGACACTGGAATCAAAAACTAATAGCCCCACTCAAAAGGGAGCAACTCTACCTTTGTGAACCTTTGTGAAGTGCTTCCAACTAATTAGCCTGCCTACTCTGGTGCATAACACTTGGTTGTTGCCCCATCTTCTGTTATATTCCTGTTGAGTCAAATGTTAGGCCCTTTACTAGCCCATAAAAGAATTGTACTGTGTATTTCTACGCATCTTTTTCAACTTGAACTTCTCTTACCTTTTTGGATATGCATCTTAAAAAATAGCTAACAAATAGAGTTCAAGTATTCCAACTTTCTTTCTTCATTTAGGATATTGATTAATTTTTTGTTGATTTAATCAATATCCTAAATGAAGAAAGAAAGTCCAAAAAACATCTCTAAGAGTTTAGAAAGGTGATCCTTTTTTATCCAAACCAAGCCATATTGGTTGAGCCATGGCAAAGGTTAATCAAGTTTTTCAACCCAATAAACATTAGATTGGCTATAATTTATAAGAAGTCCAAATGTGAGGTAGAATTTGTTGAGGATGTGTACCAAGTTGGCAATTGAGTCTCTCTCCACATATATTAAAAATTAAGTATTGTCTGCATATTAAAGTGTGAGCTGTTGAGTTCAAGAGAAGGTGACTTTATTTCTTTAACTTTGTCCTTGGTTTATACTTGACAAAATTTTGCATTTAATACCTCTATGATGATAAGAAAGTAATATGAAGCTAACAAATAGCCTTGGCATACTTTCTTTTTGATAGAGAATGTTGTTAAAGGTTGCTTATTGATATTAATAAATGCTTCAGTACCATCAAATGTAAGACTAACTAACTAAATAAATTTTTGGAGAAAGCCCATCTTTTCTATGGTTTTAAAAAAGTAACACCAGTTTACTCAATCATGATTTTTAAGAAACTGAGTTTGAGAATAATTGTCTCTTATTTCAATTTTGTGCCAAGCTCAAGGTCTTAGATGTAAGCAAAATATTATGAAGAATGAAGCAATTTTACAAAAAAAGAACTTTGGTCAAGATTGATAAGTTTGCATAAGGATTCTTAAAGACGGAGTTGCAATTTCTTTGTATAGATTTTGTATGAAACATTTTAATAGTGTTATTGGGCACTAATTTATTAAAAGTTTCTTATTGCCACTCTTCGAGATGAATATGATGAGGTCTGCTGTAACTTCATTGGAGAATCTCTCTTTGTTAATGGCATCTTTGATCATATCAGTAGACTCATCTCCAATTAAGTTTCAAAACTTAATAAAGAAATAAACTATGATGCCATTTGGACTTGGTATTTATTTATTTATTCATTTTTCCTATTTTGCAGGGAACAATAAAAAAGGCTTCTTTTAAAAATAGGTGCCAAATCTCTTAGATCATTCACTTTATTACATTCTAAAAAAAAACTTCAAAGATTTCTTGCTCAACTTTCAAGGCTTTTGAACTTCGCGATTGTTTGTCATTGAGTTCTTGATAGTAATGCACGTCTTTTTCTTCAATGTGGATGTTATTTGAGATTTGTGATCCATCTCATATTTGAAGTTTAGTGGAAATGATTTTTGTTAGTTTTTTTTAAAAAATTAATTAATTATTTTTTTATTTTTTATTTTATTGTTGTTTATTTTATCTTATTGTTGTTTTTTATTTTATTGTTGATTTTTATTTTATTGTTGATTTTTATTTTATTGTTGATTTTTATTTTATTGTTGATTATTTTATTTTATTATTTTATTACAAAAAATTCTTTGATTATTTGATCTTTAATCTTTTTTTATTAGATTCTTGATTTGAGCCTTCTACCTTTGACTCTCTCAGTCTTAATCATAAGAAGTTCTTCCTTACACTTATCTACTTGTCATTAATACACTTCATTTTTTGATTCAACTTATAAGATACATTGAGATGGTTCTAAGGCCTCTTTTGCCTTACATTACTTCTAGCGAACTTCTTCCACCTTGTACTTGTAGTAAGTTTTATAGAATCTTATGAATTTCTTCACCTCTAAAAAAAAATCTTTTTTTTATTTTTTTTTATTTTTTTATGTATCCTACTTCTTTCACTATACCATTGTTCAAATAATGAGTGTTCAATTTATATTTTCTTCTTCTTGGGACTAGAACTTGTAACACTAATTCAATCGTGACTAAGAGATGATTAGA